GGCTACAGGGGCAACTGGAGTGTAGACCTGCAAGCAGGCTCTGACTTTCACTATCGACCTATGCTTTTTGTCATACTCATGACGGGGCTAGGCGCAATAGTATTGCAGGTAAATGAAATGCTGCCCCAATAAACCATTGACAAACGGAGGAATCTCGTGGATTAGACTCTATCGTGCAAATTGGGGTGTGTTACCGGGATCGGTTAGTCTATTTACACACGGATCGTGTACGCGAAACTGAACAACCTGTTCCACCAGACCTGGCTTCTCACTGCCGGTTACTCCTGCATGATCGTCCGAAACATACCCGGCTGATTCGCTACGGCGTTCTCTACCCTCTCTACGTGCTCTCGGAAATAGCGATCATATCGACAGACTTAGCTGAATTGCTCGGCTCAGCCATCGGGCTAGTGATTATAATCCCCAACCTACCACTATGGGGAGCCGTCGTCTTGACCGCCGCAGATGTACTCGTCTTTCTCGCCATCAGCAACCCATCCACGGCACAGGGAAGACCGGCGAAAGTATTTGAATACACCATCATTCTATTAGTTGAGTTCATTATTTCCACCGATTGGCAGGCAGGTCCCGTCTTATCTTTGACCCAAGGTACTTGCCGTGCTGGCCTGCTTCATCGTCTTGATGGTGAAGTCGCGCCCTGACTGGCCCGCTGTCTTTATGGGATACATTCCCTCGAAGGACCTTTTTAAGTCTGAGCCCAACGCGATATACACGGCTGTCGGGATGCTTGGTGCCACAATCATGCCTCACGCGCTATTCTTGGGTTCGTCACTTGCGACCCAGGATCGCGTGGCTCTGGCTCCACCCCCGCCGGCGCATCCTCCAGTCCTCCCATCTTCGCAACCCATTACTCGTCGCACACTTAAGTCCCGTGTCAAAGACTTTGTCGTCCCTTTGTTCGCCGTTTCCCGCGCAGAACGTGCGGCAGCCGCTCGGGACTACCGAACAAAATACGGCGAAAGAGAGAATAATTCTCTCGCGTTCATTCGCCAACACCTCCCACATGGTGTCATAGATATCATAACAAGCCTCCTTGGCATCGCCGTACCCATAAATTCAGCGTGAGTCCATTTGTTGCATATATATTCCGTTCCCAAGACCACCGAGAGTTAACCTTTGTACCATTGATTTAGGATTTTAATTCTCGCCGCCACGGTGTTCTACCAATCTAGGGACGGAGGCCCAGCGGGGCTTTTCGACGCCCATGATCTAATCAAGCAGTTTATTGGCAATGGTGAATCACACTCTCGTAATAACGTTTCTATGCAGCTCATAGTTGTTTTTGTTTTGCTCCAGGTGCTGCCATTGTCTTCGCGTTAGCGCTCATTTGTGCCGGCCAAGCGGCCAGTATCACTGCAACACTAGCCGGGCAGGTTGTCTCCGAGGGCTTTATAGAATGGCGCATATCGGTAAGCCCCATACGCCCCACCTCCGTGGAAACCATCTCAAAACGCTAATTCACATACCACATCACGATTCGTCATGTTGCAGCCCTTCTTTCGTCGTTTGATTACGCGTCTCATCAGCTTGATTCCATCTGTGATAGTCGCCGTTTCAGCCGGCCGAGAAGGCATCAACACCCTCCTTGTTGCCTCGCAAGTCGCGCTCTCCGTCGTCCTCCCGTTCATCGTATTCCCATTGATATATCTGACATCATCCAAGGTGGTGATGCGCGTGCGGAAACCCGTGCCCCCGTCCCTACCCTCGGAGAGTGATGATCAATCAGTTTCATCTGTTGGGATTGGGGCTTACACTGCGAGCCAACTCCAGGTGATTGAATCTAGTTCAGTCGTCGTTAGTGACCGCGAGAAGGTGGGTACAGAGAAGGAGACTGTTGTGGAGTATCATGAGAAAACAGAGGAGTCTATCCAGATTCCCGAATACGTAGACTATAGTAACGGATGGCCATTGATGCTGGTATCTTACGGGATATGGTTCATAGTGCTGTTGGCCAACACCTACGCCATCGTTGAGTTGGCTCTGGGTAGAACATGATGCAAGTTATGCAAGTTTCATGTATTATTACATTCATAGACTTCATTGTTTCAAAGCATTGTATTTGAGCTACTGGAATATGATCTTATTTATATATTTCCGCGACGTTAACACGGTCACCGCACTATCTGCGCGAGAGTGTATACAAGACAAAAAGGAAGAAAAATATGAAAGAGAGGATGTTAACAACTATAGATTAGTCCACGACATGAAACGGAAAAGTATATTCAAATGATACGGAAGGTAGATAGAGGGGAATGAGCGGCAACGGTGTTAATGGGGACAATGCATCGATCACGTTCGTCTCGGGGCCAAGTATACGAGGCGGTACGATACGTGACACATATGTAGAGGCCCGACGCGAAGTCCAATATGTCGAGAAAACATAGCATACGAGGCAGACGACGCTAGGGCCAAGACAATAAGCATGTAGCCTACGAAGGCAATGAGAAAAGGTCTGCGACGACAAAGACGAGGCGAACTTACAAAAAGCCAAATACGATAAACATCAAACAAAGGCGTGATCCTGGTCTCACTTCCCACTGTGGCATCCGCAGGATGCCTCTTTGTCGAAGTAGCTCTTCCCGCAGGTCTCACACCAAGCTCTCGCAGTCCTCGCCACTCCTACTGACTTCTTGGTAGCGGAGGGATGAGAGGGAAGGACAGAAGCGTCGCGGTGAATACTGATGAGGTGACGGCCTAAATCGTGCTTTCTGCTGAACGACCGACCACAAGACCGATGAGAGCATGTGTAAGGCTTCGACCGGTTGGGGTCATGGGTAGACATGTGGGTCTTCAGATTGAAGGCTCGGGCGAAAGCTGAAAATGCCCGTTAGCGATAAAATCATACAGCGGCGTAGAAAGAACATACCACGAGAACAAACATTGCATTTGTATTTGCGGCGGGGGTCGTCTCCCTTACCTACCTCCTCAGCTTTGTCTGGGAGGGTGGGCAGCTGAGCAGAAATATGGGTCGGTGACACCGTCGACTGTGTACGGTATGGTGATGGGTAGAAATCTGCCGCTTCTCGGGTGCTTGGAGTGTAGTCCGAGAAACTGCGGGGGATGTATTTCTCGTACGATGTCTTAGTCACTCGACCCGGTGCTGGAGGGCTAGTGGGCGGCGTCAAGGGCAGAGTCCCAAACGAAGTGGGATCCACAGTCGCTGGGCTGGGGGCGAAGTCGAAAGCGTTGAGATTGATTCGTTGCATGTCAACTTCGTTGAAGTCTGCTATGGAATACGTAGAGCCACAGTAGTTGGATCCAGCGTAGTTATTGTAGTAGGGATCCGAGTAGGTCGAGTGCGGCGAGTCATACGCCGATTCGCTGGATACGGTGATAGTAGAGGGAGGCCCGCACGTGGGGTTCTCGGACCTCAAGATGCTGAAGGCGTCGCTGGAATTGACGGTGAAGAACGGGATCTGGGAATCGTCTAAACCCTCAAGGTTTGAATCGAGTTCGGTCTCAAACAGATCAGGGGAGGGGGCGACGATGTCCGATGGAGAGGTGAATGAAATGAAGTCAAAGCCAGAATGTTTCGAATACTCGTGGCCGTTGAAAGCCTCGTAGTTGGGGGATTGCTGTGAGGACATTGCGATTGAATTTGACTGCGGTTGGATGCTCAAATACTGCTGTTGTAGGGAGTCAGAGGAGATGGTGATGGTACGGAAGAAAGAGCAGTTGTCCCCTGTTTGTATTATGACTGCGCATTTCGTCTTACGTAAGACCCCGGCTTTGCCTCGCCTTGTGCCTTGGGCGCGTTCTCGGTTTATCTCCCGCGCTGATTTGCTATAGGAACCAAGAAGGAACAGCCGGCGGTGCCCCCATCGACAAGCTCTTGGACTAGGAAATGGAGTTCTTGGGCCGAATCAATTCATCAGCTCTCACGTCCCAGTTCTTTCTGCACAGCTTTCACGCTACTGCGGATGGTACAGCGGATGTCGGACACACGACACGAGAGTACACGTAGTCTCTGGCCAGGACACGCAAGTTCGGCATACGGAAGCCTTGTGTCATCCTGCCTTTGACTGACTCGAATCTCGTCCAAATCTGAGCCAAATCTGACTCAGGCGTCTTACTACATGCTGTAGAGGGACCCGATATAGTTTTGTGTGGTACAGAGTGGGTCTTCCATTGGACTTGGTCGCCGCCAAAGCTAATATTAAAGCAGTGCAACCTCCATGATGGAATCACATACGAATCACATAGCATGCTTTGTCCAGCAGGCATTACGAACTTGGCGGTATCGGTTATAATGATAGCATCAGCCCGCCTAGCTCAATCGGATAGAGCGTCAGACTCTTACTTAAGTCTGCTTAGGCGATCTGAAGGCTGCGAGTTCGACCCTCGCGGTGGGCTAGCCTCATCTTTTTCCCTCAATTCCCGTATGTACCCCAGAATAAAGATTTAACTTGACAACCACACAAATCCGAAAGATAGCTATCCGAGATGGGCGGTGTATCGTTCGCAAAAACCATGACCCATTTCACATTGCTAATAGTGGGTCTCATTGTGCCTGTGTGGGTCGTATCACTCACCTCTTTGAAAGCGGTGCAAGGCATCACAGACATCAACGTAACGTATGGGGGCATCCGTGATCCCTGAAGCCTGATGCCCCAAAAACCCGATGTACATCTGTTACTGGACGAAATATGTGATAAATGTTTAATACCCAATGCTAAGTGTAGGTGGAAAGAACAATGAATATCATGGACCCATACATCCTTATTCAACACTGTGAAACGGACGCCAACAACCATGCTGCATCTCCGGTAATTACATTAATTGCAACAGATGGATACAATAGAAGTTACAGAACATTCAGAAGTTTGTTGTTTGAATATGGGGGAAAGTCTGTAGCATGATACTTGGGAGGAATACTCCTGCGACGCCATGGGTTTGGACACGTTAGATTGTCGTTGTCCGTTGTCAAAGCTTCGCATCCTACCGTACAAGGACGGTGCAAAAACACAAAGATCGGGTCTAGCCCACCGCGAGGGTCGAACTCGCAGCCTTCAGATCGCCTAGCCAAGTGACTGACCGTAAAAGTCTGACGCTCTATCCGATTGAGCTAGGCGGGCGGATGCTTATTGACTCCGTTGAGGTGTGATGAAACAAAGATTAGCCTAATTGTTAACAGTTTCTGGGTACAACCGACATCCAACCGACATCTAGTGGATTATTGTACAACAACAGCAAGATACAGGCAGTGGAGGAGCAAAGCGACAATGGGAACGGTCTAGTGTAAGACAAGAATAATAGAACAAGAAAGATAGCAACCACGCTAGACCCCGACTCTGTGTACCACTTTTTTCTATGGAACGAGTAGTGAGGATATTCATTCATCACTGATTGCTCAAAGGGGCGTACCTGTCCGGAGAACCGTATAACCTCCCTCTTCTCCAATACGAATAATGTCCTTTCCAAGGCATGGCTAGAATATCCCTGCTGTGTTACAAACTCCTTCAGCAAACTCTGATAGCTTGTGCTCCATCCAACAGGCAGCCTCCTCCTTAGCTCCCGTTCAATCCTCGTCATCTCCTCATTCACCTCCCCGCGCGACAAACCATCCGCAGCACCGGTAGAGACGGCGTCCATAGTAGAGAACTTGAACAACCGTATCGCCTCCTCGACGTGATGATTTTGAACGACAGGGGAGAGCGTCATCTTTGCGAGAGACTCGGATATCCGGATGATCGCTTCTAGTTGGCTGTGATCGTAGATATGCGCCCGTGAGATACGTTTGAAGAGGACATGCGATGCAATAAACCTACCGAACGGTAATAGGGATGGAACTTCGTTCGTCGTTATCCCGTTCAACCTTCTGCACCTCCTGTCTCAGATTGACGAAATGGCTGCTCAGCATTTCTTGAGCATCAGGGGATAGACGCGGCGCGCATTTCCTATTCATCAGTGATGTCAACCACAGTTCGTCATGAAATAAGACTCAAGTACCCTTTGCAATACGCAATGTACCGCTTCATCTTGTCTAGATCAATTTCGCCTTCAGCTTGCCCATCTTCGGCATTCTGACGATTCATGTGTATGTTCATAACGTGTTTTGCAATCATCTGCGTTTCAAAAGGTTGCACTCAGAAACATTCGATGGAACGAAAGGTATCGAACTCACTCTGTCACGCTGTTCGTTGTGCTCATCCTTCACGATGAAGATCATATCAAATCGAGACAGAATAGTCGTTTGGAAGTCGATGTTCTAACACGCAGGTCAGCAGCAACGAATGAGGACATGAAACGGGATCTTACTTCGCCAGGACTACGGCCCTCATCATATCGACCGAAGACGGGATTGGCTGCAGCGAGAACACTCGTCCGCGAGTTAAGGACGGTGGTGATTCCGGCCTTCGCGATGGATATCGTTTGTTGTTCCATCGCTTCGTGAATAGCAACACGGTCCTCGTCCCGCATCTTGTCGAACTCATCGATACAAACAACACCAGTGTCTGCTAATACCATCGCGCCCCCTTCCAGGTAGAACTCCCTCTTGTGATCCGTTAGTACAACTATTGGAAACGCCTCAGCGTCTGTACGTACTGATATGGAGTCTCTCTGGACTGAGGCGGTAAGACCTGCAGCGCTAGATCCCTTACCCGACGTATATACAGCGATTGGCGCGACCTAGACAACGCTCATCAGTTCGCGACCACTAGTAGCTCGATTATGGCAATACCTTCTCTACGAACTTGAGAAGCTGACTCTTGGCGGTACCTGGATCACCCAAAAGCAGGACATTGATGTCCCCCCGAAGTCGCATCCCGTCCGGAAGCACCTTTCGTGAGCCGCCAAATAGAAGACACGCAATGGCCTTCTTGATGTCTGATGCGACCCATTGTTATGACGAAGTACGGGAGTGATAGCGACGCGTGCTTACCGAGACTGCCAAAGATACTGGGGGCGACGCTCTTAGCGAACCTCTCGTAAAAGCCTTCGCTTCGAGCCATTTCGCCGAATTCCTCTTCCTCTTCGGCCGTGAATTGGACGCCGAATGGATTCGACCCTCCCCCCGCAGCCTGCGATGAAAGTTCCAAATGCACTACGCGAATATATGGTTGCCGCGTCGCTGCAGGACCAGATCCTTTCTAATAAGAGGGTCAGAGGTCAACGTTGTGGTAGTTATAGAGATATCTCACGGTTTTAGCTGATTGAAAGGTCGAATAGATCCCAGTGGCTATCACACGGGAGCCGGGGACGACTTTTCCTGTCAAATAACGATCGGCGGATAGTAGTAGATGTCGAGGCAACTCCCCAACGGGAACCATATCTGGGGCCTCCTGGAGTTTGAGGGTTTGCTGGTCGGCGAATGTTGATTTAGAATGGATAATGAGGTATGGGTCTAGAGGGCAATCCTTCTTCTGCCCATCGACTTCCGGCGCGTCGCAGACTCGTGGAAGCCCTCGATCCGAACCCGAACCAACACCACCCATGCCACCCGTGGGGTATATCATCTTCACCGAATGACACGCTCGACATTGAAGATGTAGTTTCGTGGCGCGCGACGACAGAACCGATGCGGAAATGACGATGCCTGGAACACGCACAAGTTTGTTCATGAGATTGGCTGTGAGATCACGGAAAGGCAGCAAGTTCAGTCCAGAACGCAATGTTATCTGGACCTTTGGTATTGTTTCAGCGGCCCTCTCTGCTCGCTCCTCCGAAGTACCAGCCAAAGGGAAGAGTATCGTACGCGCGGCTTTCGCAGCAGCATTTTCGAACTAAGCCAGAGGTCAAGAAAGTCCATGTTTCAAGAAAGAACGCGTACCAGTGGCAGTATATCCGCGGGACGGTCTTGTATGGCGTGGGCAAGCTCGTCGTTGAACAGGCTGATGTGTCGAAGGTCCACCTCGAGAACATATTGCTTAAGGAGCAAGTTTGCCCTCAGCTTATCGCTAGATGCCGGTGCAGATGAGACCCATTCGCGTTGATAAAAGGGTAGTCACTGACCGATATATGAACTCCCCTCCGACGCGATACTGAACAAGGAACTCGAGCAATAGTTTCTCGGTTTCTGCGGGCGAGTCGGGGGACGATGCCGCTGGTAGGTCATGTACCGAAACTGTGTAGACGTTATTGGCGTCGAAACCCGACATGGTGAGATTTGGGAGACTGCAACGCGTACAAGGTTGGCCGTAATTGGGTTGATTTAGGGCAGGTCATCACGCGTGTACCAGGAGAATATAGGGGGGAATCGAACAAAAAATTACAATATTGCACACGAGCTACCAAACTTCATGGACCGAACGCGTAATACAAGTAGTAAATTTATTCTCCTTCCTTTTCCAGCCTCTCCATTTCCTTCGCTTCGAGATGAGCTTGATAGATGCCGCCGAGAATTGGCAGACCTCTGGCCTGCTCCGTCGAAGAAGTCGGTTTGCACAGCGAGGGAATACTTGGCGTTCCAAGGAGCGAGCCATAAGCCGATATATGTTCCTGTAGGGCTGTCTGAAGGAAGGCCTTCAAGGTCTTAGGCGTGGGAGGAGCGGTTGTAGAGAATGTCTGCCCTTGGAGTGAGACATATCCCAGCCCCGATGATTTGGCCTTGTCAATGGCGCTATTGACAATTGCCCGGACAGCTAGCCCGGGGATGAATGGCAGTTTGCCGTAGAGTGTCGGGATTGCGTTCAAGGAATCAATACCCCATGCATGGGGGACGATATCATACGTATTGGTGAGGTTTCCGTTCCACATCTGATACGCAGCGGGACCACCAGAGATCAGAGGAAAATTTTGAGCGAACAAGGCAGAAAAGGATCCATTTCCTGGCGATGGACCTGCTGTTGGGTATGCGAAGACATTTCCTGTCGCGTTCTTAAGAAGCCCTGCTTTCAACAGCGCCAACGCGACGCTTGGTGATAAGGCACCCCCGAGGCTATGCCCAGTGAATACAAGGCGAGATGTAGCGGGGATGGTGGCCAAGAACTCGATGATAGTTTGCCCAGCAGGGCTAGCTACGGTCAAGAGAGTGGATATCCCAGTAGCTGTTCCATATGCAATGTACGGCTTTGCCTGATCGACTGTGGTAGCTTGTTCAGGAGTAGTGGTTATCCCAGCTTGCACCCAGCCATAGAAATCGACAACCTTGTCCACATATGCGTCGATGACTATGTTCTCAAACGAACTATCTGCAGTTCCGGCAACGGCCAAGACGTAAGTATCGTAGGTCCCGTCACCAAAATTGGCTGATGGATTGCGCGCGATGTACCAGACACGGTCAGGTCCTGAGTTGGCGTTGCCGGGATTGAACTTCCATACTTTGGGTCCCCATACGACGCTCCAGTCACCAATTTTGGCGTTCGTGATGGTGGGCTGCAGAGCAGCGTCCATCTTGCCCTGCAAATCGGCCTGCGTCCCCTTGCACGCCGATAGCAAATTGGACGCGTTTGAGAGGACGAATACTTGCTGGTGAATGTTGTAGGACATGGCCTCCTTGTCTCAGTTTCTAGGCAGAGGTTAGTACTGTAGAGCGCGCAGAGATCGAGGTGACTTGACTCACAGAAAGAAGAGGTTTGTGGGCTTGTGCTAGTACGTCCTTTGGACGAAAGTCTTTTATGTCCATGGATTGCTCCGTCTTAGGCTACGCCTGGGGGTAAGAACCACTTACGCAAAGCACGGGCACAAGCGACAGCGTCGATGGCGGTACATCGAGTAGAAAATTCCATGCAAGTGTCATTGGACGCTTGAGGCCTTCAGGGTGACATTTATACCTATATGTCAACCGGAGGAGGATCAGTCCGACATCTGTGCTGCGGTGAGAGGCCATCGATGACCCGTGCCAAACGGTGCCTTCAGATATAGCGACAGGCGTTGCCTCAACACCGGAAAGTTGTGGAGTCGTCAACCGAGACTACCCTCGGATTTACAAGATATTTACAGGTCTAGATCAATATCTCCACCATTCGAGAGCACGAGGGCATGCACTTTGACGAAAGTATCGGTGAAACGCACATCGCGATACCGCCTCTTTCACTCGCCTGTCGAGATTCTAGATGGACAATTACGGGACCAATGCGTTATCAGAAAGGACACGGGGCATGTATTATAGCGTAAGTAGAACATTCGGGACCTT